CATATTTATTCAACCCAAACCTGGTTGGTGTATCCATATACCCAACAGATGCAACTATAAAACAATTCCTGAACTGAGAATCTGTCAGATCCCTTTGAGTAAGTAAGAACTATCCCCTAAGTCAGAACTATCCTTTACATCATCGGATTGAGAAAGGTATAGTTTACTAGAAGCCAAGTGAAATATAGTAGCGAGAAGCTAGAAGTGAAATTTGCACGCTAAACTCCCAAGTGTAACTTTTTTCTCCCAAAAGTTGCCTCCCACAGTTGATCCCCTGATGGCCAGTCAAATTTAAATCGAAGAGCTGTTTTTAGAACAGTCTCCTAAGGGATGCAGGCGGTTGACCCTGAGACCGCGTTTAGAAAGGAACGGTGAACTTTCATTCCCCTGAAATATACTCCTCTCCCACTTGGTCCTCAAGAGTTCATGGCAAACTGGCACCAAAAGAAGTTGTCAAAGTGCAGTAGCAGCATCTGACAGAATCTCTCTTCTTCATGTGCGTGCGCTATTTGATACAACTGTGAACCAAGGAAATACTTACTTCCGCCTCCTAGGCCCATGCAGTAGGTCATCATGCCTTTCATACACTTGTAGCTCCTGATCTTCCTCCTCAGTAAAGGAAGGGTCCTCAGTTGCTAGTAATTCAACCGCACTGCCTAAAGGCATGGCTAGAAAAGTAAGGAAAAATGTTTCCTCAGAGAGTTATCTAGAATATATCAATTTAATCAGTACATAATCAGTGTAAAATAATCTGAACTCTCTCACTTTTGAAATGAGCCAGAAGTGTTTTTTTATCAAAGATTGTAGAGAATATGTTTGACCCAGCTGACAGATTTCAAGGACTCACCATCTCCGTCCTGTTCACCAGCTGCTCTATAACGATGCATTCGCAAGACGTGGTCTGAGATTTCCCGATCTTGTTCTGGATCCATTTGATCCAAAACGATGAAGAGCAAATCAAATCGGGATAGCAAAGAATCCTGAAGGCCAATATTATCCATGGGAGTTTTGTACTGGTCATACTGCAAAGATGCAGGGAAAGGTCAGCAAGTTAGCAGCTCTTAAGTGTAAACAGAAGAGGCAGTACTGATAGAATGTTAAGGAGAATCCACATTATCTCTACAGACACACACACAAAAATCCAAATCTTATACTGCTTCTATATTGTACAATTGTTTTCAGCACAGTAGATATAGGGTAAGGTCAGTCAAAACTTGTTCTTTAGCAAAACAGTCACATAATTCGAAATTGTATTTCCTTTGTCTCCCTTCTGCATGCTACACGAGAAGTTATTTTTGCATATGCTGTGCATTATATCTTTTTCTTCAGTTGGGTTTTTAATGTAAGCACAAATAGACTTTATTCTATTACACAGACTAAGTACGCTTATGAAACTATGTGATACATGGAGCTGAGAAACATTCAATAACAATGCAGTGTGTAATAAGCCCAAAAAACAAACCCCAACGAAATACAGCATTGAAAAAGGGCAGACAATACTCCGGTAGGATGCCAATCTTCATAGATCTGGATTACCAAGTGCAAGGAAATAGTAACATATGGACTAACTCTGGAGAATTCAATGAAGTACTGCTGTGCTCTACAAAAGCAGGCAGGGAAACATATAACCAGTTTAAAAATCGCACAGGCTTTTAAAAAATCCTCCATTTAAGAACTGGGCCATCAGTAAGCAAATAAACCAATATGATATCAACTAAAATATAATAGAAGAAGCAGAAAGTCGTCACATAGCTTATCTAAATAAAATCTCTTCCACATTTACCCTTCCGTAGACTGGATTCGCAGCAGCTAATACACTGCAACGGGCATTGAGCTGGGCCTGAATGCCTGCTTTGGCAATGGTAACACGACCTTGTTCCATCACTTCATGGATAGCAGTACGATCAATATCAGACATCTTATCGAATTCATCAATGCACACCACTCCACGGTCAGCCAAGACCATGGCACCAGCTTCCAGACAACGTTCTCCTAAGGACGGGGAAATAAAGAGAGGGAGAGAAAGCATATAAAGGTTAAATAATGCTCTCATGCATTCTAAGCCAGGGCTGGACTACTAAGGTTTTTCAAGCTATGTTACATGTAGTTTTAGATGGGCAAGCCCCTCTTAAGAACAATAACTTGCTATTAGTACTAGTGTACTTGCCACTTGTGCCGGATCATAAATCCTGTGTCTGTTGTAGGCTGCCAGCAGAGCTGGTGGCAGACCTGGACAGTGAGGAGGTTGGGGAGGAACATGGGCCAGTCCTGGAGTTTGGGGAAAGCTCTAACGAGTGCTATGCATCATATCAGCTGCCTTCAGAGTGGAAGATCAGTGGGGCAGAAGAACAGCTGGAGCTTGTTCCCAGTGTGCACATGAGCAGAGCTGCCAAGAGAAGGGAACAGTTAAGGAACAAGGGCCGACTCGGGAGTAAAGGCTCAGGTGGATGGTGAATGGCCCCTCCCATAGGGAATAAAGAGGAGCGAGAGGGGAATGGTGTTTGCAGGAGACAATTAGTTCAATTCATTAGGGTAAAGATCTGTTCTTGACTTCTTGCCAAGTAATTGCTGCTACAGCGTGGTGTTTGGAAGATATCGGCCTGGCAACTCTCCAAGCCTGATAAAGGTCTGTAGTTGTGAAATCTCATGAAAGACTGTTTGCCGGGACTTGGCTGCAGAGGAATTCACTTTAACCTAAATAAAAGGGGTTTTATCGGGACGAGGAGTCTGCTTCATGACCTTGGGAAGCCTAGGTCAGGACAGTGTCCACCAGTTTCCAGTGTCAGCCTTTCCCAGTACCTCACATGTAGAGGTAGTAGCACTTGAGCAAGCCAGTTATGGTGAGAAGATACAAGTCCATGATGTCTCTGTGGCTCAAACACAAGGTCCTAAGTCCCATGCCTGATGGTCTGTTGAACCCCCAATTTGAGATGATTATGGGAAGATGTTGCACCAATATGGGGGGTGGGGTGGGAAGAAGCCAAGCATTGGATGTCAGACTGTTCGTATTTTGAGACCTTGATGTCCCAAGTCTCACTCATTCGGAAATTGGCGACCATGGAGACATCCATGATCCATAGCTGGTTTACTGTTTCCATAATCAAATCTGGTTTTATGAATGAAATGCCGGATGGGATGATTGGTTCGACACATGGACGGACGCCTTGTTTGGACAAAAATTGTTCAAGACACTGTAAGATGTGATTATGATGTGTGCATCTTGTATCATGCATCACCTCAGAAACTTGCAGGATGTGATTGTCTCAAGGGATCCAGCAGGCTCCTCCGCAGGGTTTGTCAATAATCTGGCAGTTGTTGCTTTGCATGCTCCTCAACTGGTTCCCCCTAATATATGAACAGGGAAACACTCGGGAGGGGCGTAATAGCCACTCATGGCTCGCCACATTGATATTCAGGACACTCAACTCTCGACTGCCGATTGAATTCGAGAGTGCAATCTTCCACTCCTCTTGCACCTCAGCCTTGGTTGTTACCACTGTAGCATTGACTCTGCATGGCTGATTTATCAGGTGCCTCACTGGGCCAAAAGCATCTTGGTGCTGCAGAGTTTGAAACAGCATGGTGGGATGTGATGGAATCTTTTCATGCTGGATTGCCTGAAGCCGCGGGATTGAAGTGGAGAAACAAGACACCTCACAGGCCTCAATCTTTGATGTTGGCATGGAAGTAGACCAATGGAGTGTCTATGGGCAGCTGCAGTCAACATCTCACTGCCACGCGGATCAAACAGTTAAGTTTTTTCAGCTTATTCCTATGCACATGACCCAGTAAAAGTTCATGCATAAATTTAAGCACTAACTATATTTTCAATAGCTTAAACCGCTGTTGTAGCTTAAGCGGTGTCTGCAAATGCTTGCGTAGATAGTCCAACTTGCCAATATCCTTGGGGATTACTCAGCCTTTTCGGTTAAAGTGGAGGCCGAGATAGAGAACAGAATTATCTGACTCAAGAGTGTTGATGGTACTTCCCTCACTGTTGTAGGTGGTGGGTAAAAGCTCTTGCCATCTTTAGCAATGGTAAGACCAATAAACGTCTTGGCATTGAGTGCCATATCGGCTTTACAGGGGCCTCCAGACAAAAAATGTAGTTTTTCTTGGAGCCTAGTGGATTCTCTGCTAATTAGACTAGGTCATCGACAGATGCTATGTTGTTGATGCGATAACAATCAAAGTCATACCCAACGTTGGGAGTGATGTTTTAACAATATCTTCAACCACCATAATAAAAGAATAGTGGAGTCAGAGGATCGCCTTACTGGACTCCCCTATAGTACGTGGTGTTAGTTTCCGTAAGTTGCCCAGTGGATCGCTCATACATAAGCACCATGTTTCTACTACTGCTCTTTCATTCTCTGAAAGAAATAGTAATATTATCCCATCTCCTACAAAAAAGCCAAGTAATTAACTCAAAAGTTGACAACACACTCCCTGTCCAATCACTTCTCAAAACAGTACCCATAATCTTTCTAAAGTAAAGTGATTTAATTTTAAAGATTTAATTTTTTAAAGGAAATATCTTGTTGCTTTTAAGTCTTAATGTGAGATCAACCAATTCTAGCAAAGGTTCAGATATTATAGGAAGGTCCTAGACTACCACACAATTAGAACTAGGTGGCTAAAAAACCATGACAATCCCCGATCGTGATTTGCAACAAAATGAAGGTGGGTTGTTATTGCCGCCTACTGGGGTGAATTATATTTTCCAATTTGACTTACTGGAGTTCCTTTTCAATTCCTAACTAGGACTGACCCTACTTATTTTTCAGTCCAAAGCATGACAGGATTTTGAGCTATTTCATCTATAATATACAAAAGATGTAATTATAAAGGATTTGATATCCTCACTCTTTCATGCTAAATAATATTCTACTCACATGTAGAAATAAATAATATTCTACTTGCCACCAGCAGTCCAAATGACAAGAGGGAATTGCCATCCCATTTCAAATTTAGCCCAATTCACTCCGGCTAGAGATTTAATATGTTAGCATAACACTGCATCACTAGGCCACTGTTTTACTTATACCTCAAGCTCTGTGTTCACTGCTGTTCAAATTTTTAAAATAAGGCATAAAGCAACTCATCAATAGTAGGCATAAATTGATTCAATTAATCAATCAATCCTCTGGGCTGCAGTGAGACTATCAGTTGCTTTTTCTCTTGATTATACCTGTTCCTTTTGCACATCATTTGCTTCTAAGTTCTCACCAGTTTCCTGATCTGTTGTGACAGCAGCAGTCAAGCCTACTCCAGAAGAACCCCTGCCAGTAGTGGGAATGGCCCGAGGAGCTGTACATAACACATAACGTAACAACTGAGACTTTGCAACCGAAGGGTCACCTGAAAATACAAGAGATACAGGCTGTTTAGAACATAGAATCATACAGCTGGAAGAGACCCCTGAGATCTTCTAGTCCAGCCTCTGCTCAAAAAAGGGGTCTTATAACATACCAGTCAAATGGTTGTCCAATCTACGAGGGCTATCCACAAAATAGATTACGTTTTGCGATAGAAAAAAAACAAAGTGTAGGAAAATTTTTTTATTATATACACTTGAAAGTGACAAATACTATTTTGCAACATATTCACCAAACAAATTGAGACACTTATCATAGCGGTGAAGAAGCTTTGTAATTCCATTGTCATAAAATTCAGCCGCCTGAGATTTGAGCCAGTCAGTCACGCCCGCCCACCCGCAGTTCCGCGTCGTCATCAAAGCGCTGTGTTCCAAGCCAGGTCTTCATCCTCGGAAACAAGTGGTAGTCACTTGGTGCAAGATCGGGGATGTAGGGCGGATGAGGAAAAATCTCCCACTTGAAAGCATTCAGGACTTCACGAGTGCGATTTGCTGTGTGTGGTCGGGCATTGTCATGCAAAAACAAAATTTTTGAGCTTAACTTTCCTCTACGCTTGTTCGGAATTGCTTTTCTGAGTTTTTGCAACGTTTCACAATACCTCATAGAGTTTATAGTTGCACCATGTTCCAGAAAATCGATAAGAAGCACACCTTGCCTATCCCAAAAAACAGTTGCCATAATCTTCCTTGCAGAGAACGTTTGCAAACATTTTCTTGGTTTTGGGGGGGAATTGCAATTTGGTCTTGCTGTTCACATGTTTGACTCAAGTCTCATCTCCAGTTACGATTCGATCAAGAAATGAATCTCCATCTTTGTCGTAAGAGTACAGAAATGTCAATGGTGCGGCCATACGCTGACTCTTGTGGTTTCTGTCAGGATTTTTGGCACCCATCTTGCACAAAATTTGTGGTAGCCTAGCTTTTGTGCAACAATTTCATGCAACAAACTGCGTGAAATTTGTGGAAAACTAAGCGAAAGTTCCGTTACTGTGAAACGGCGGTTTTCAAGAATCTTGTCATCGACTTTCGCGACCAGTTCATCAGTCACAATGCTCGGACGTCCGCTCCGCTGTTCATCATGAATGTTAGTTCGGCCATTTTTAAACTTAATGCACCACTGGCGCACTCCACCTTCAGTGATGACGTTGTCCCCGTACACTTCACACAGTTCACACAGTTGCCAAAAAATTTCAATCGATTTATTGTTTTTTGTCAACAAAAACCTTATCACTGATTGCATCTCACAACTCGAGGGATTTTCAATTGCAGCACACATTTCAAACGTTTGCTGTGAAATAACGGGCAACGATACGAACCTCCCACTAGCACGACTAGATGCAGACTGAGTGGCGGACGCACAGACCAAAGATGGCCACGCTAGCTCCGCCCCTTCTTGCTACAGATGAAAACGTAACCTATTTTGTGGCTAGCCCTCGTATTTTGGGAAATCTCTAGTGATGGAGCACCCACAACCACAGGAGGCAAGCTATTCCCTTGCTTAATTGTTCACTGTCAGAAAATTTCTCCTTACTTCTAGATGGCATTTCTCTTGCCACCTATTACTTCTTGTCCTACCCTCTGGTGACCTAGAGAATAAGTCAACTCCCTCTTCTTTGTTACAGCCCCAAAGTCCTGATAGATTAGACATACCTAGATTCCTCAAATTCTATATAATTGCCAGATATACTATCCTATTATAGGATATGATCAATGTTTCTGAAACATTTCAAATACAAGACCTCTGTTACATACCAATCAGTAGGATATTAATGTCCCCTCGGAGCCGGCTTCCATTCTCCAACACTTTTTCGACTCCTCCCAGGAGCATACACAGAATTGCCTTCTTGATGTACTCATGCCCATGAATGCTGGGAGCCAAAGATTTTGAAAGCTGTTCAAAAACATCCTACATGCAGGAAACAAATGGGATAACACTGAACCAGAATATCCACGTAGGAGTAAAGTCAAAAAGCAGTACGAAGAAAAGGGGAATTACCCATTACTTCATAAAAGGTATTGCTTCATCAAAAATTAAAATATTACATGCTACCTCAAAAATGTGAGCCTGGGGTAGAAAGACTAAATTCATTTCTTATTATTCTTAACAGTTTGCTATATCACTGAAATGTATATGTAGGAGGCTATGGTCCTCTCACTGTTTAGCATCACACACAGGTCATCTTGCTACAGTATGTAAACTATTTCAGGGGCATACGTTTTTTAAAAGGCCATTGGAAAAAAGAACCCTAAGATAAAAAAAAACACAAAATATTTATATAATCCAAAGATAAACAGGTGTATATGTACAGTAATGTAACTAAATTTAAGCAAGAATGGCCCCATATATACTATATGTCACACAGCAAGTCAAATGCAAACATTGGTTTATAGTTTCTAAAATTTATAAATACCAAAAAACAGTTGGAGTACAAAGAAGGGGGAAGACAAAAATCAAATATTTATCTATATTATTAGCATATAAATTTAATAAATTATTTGCCTAGCACAGTCAACTGTACTGGGCATGAATTGCATAACCTCAGTCTTTTTGTTCACTTATGTATTCTGAAACTTTTTTAAAAAAAAGTAAAATACAAATATCCATAATTTTCAAGTACTTTTAAATTAATCATATCTGTGCTTTAAGACAAATCAACACTGAACATGACAGACCTGAATTTCAATGAACATATGTAACAAGTCAAATGCCAACATTCAGTTTACCTTTGAGTGCTGTTTGCTAAATTTTTTAATCTTGCTAACATCTTTAGATGAATATTCAGGCTGTACCTCCTTGCTCATTTGCTTTACTTGACAAGCAATCAGGATGGTCCTTGAAAGAAATAAATCAATACAATCATTCTTTTTCCTTTTATGTTTAAACATTTCCCTGTAGCATCATAGGAGCACTAATACCAATAATATAAATGTTATTAGCTAAACAAATACCAGATTAATTTAAGACTTCTACTGCATTGAATTTCAGAAGAAAAACATTGTGGGAGGAATCTCTGTCAGATTCTAGTGTTGAGCAGACAGGCCAATGTGAAGACTCTGTAGCTATGTCAAAGCTAAGGCAAATATTTAAAAAAAATAACAATCTTCCAAATGCAATTTTTAATTTTTAAACTCAATTTCGAATGAAAAAAAAGGTGTCACAGGAGCATAGCTTCCACTACATTCTAGTAATTGCTGTACTTCTTTAGCATTAACTATTTTATGTTCATAGCATGTTCACTGATAGACCAATTTTTTTTTCCTGAATACAAGGCTCGAAAGTCGCTGGAAAAGCAGATTCTAAAAAGCCCAAGTTTTTAGAAGGACCACAAAACAAAAGCAATGATATTATTCTGGAAAATGGTTTTGTTGTTGGAGAGCTTGATGCAAAATGGGCCTCAAGGCTTGGTACACCAACCAAAAGCCAATAAACCAACTTATACTACTAACCGAAATGTCCCTGAAGTGTAACCACCCTTCTTGCTTGGCAGACAACGGAAAGTCCCAATGATCTGTACTCGGTCTCCTGGCTTTACTTTGTCTACCAAGTCATCATCTAAAATGATGTCTACAGAGCGAGGAAGTTGTCCTGCTGGAGCTTTCTCTGGCATCTCCTGGATTGTGATGGTTTGATGATCTCTGTAAGTTGACAGGCCAAATTCTGTCTCAAGAGGATTGTTTTCTTCATCCTACAAGAACATACTTAGTTTTTTACTTGTTTTTAAATATTTTTTTGTTTACTTGCTGAAAAAAAGGGATTTGGATTTATATTCCTCATATAAATATGCTATACGGATTACTTGAATTCCTGAGTACATGCTGTGCCACCAGCATTATTTACATTCTGAAGTGGTACACAGCATTAAATACTGAGTACCAAATTTGATGTCAAAGAATATTTACCTATAACATGTCTATATCCTTCTAATATCTTTTAGAATTCTTTCATAATAGAGACACTTCTTTTCTAGGAGCTTTGAAAGGCTTCTGAATCCACACAGCTCACCTTGGTGGGATAAACAGCAGAGGATGGAAAAGCTTCCAGGGACGTCAAATCTGTGTATCGCCGCTCAATGGTTTTCTTGGTAGCAGGGCAGTAGTGCACACTTCGAACAACCTTTGGGCGTACCAAAGAGCCTACACAGAGATAGAAACAAAAAAGCATCTGGAAATAAAGAAAGGAACTAGCCAGCCCTCAATCTGAACACTCACTTCAGATGTTCCCTTGCTAGATTGCAAAACATTGCATGTTTATGTTGTAATATATTAGGTAGGTCTTTTCACATCAATTGCACTACTCAATCCCATTAAATTTATTTCAATATATTCCTAGACTAGCATTTTAAAGGTAACAGCTGAGGATCTTTTTAAATGTATTGCAATCTGCTCTAAGTACTTGAAAAACACAAGCATATTTAACACAAGTACTTCCAAATGATTATTCTGAATAATATTCTCAACAGCATACTGATACTGAATGTATAATGTGTAGCTTTATTGGAACAATTCTTACTTAAGTGTTTATTTCACTCTCTTACAAACCCTGAAGAGAAAGCCTGTATTTAACAGGAAAGCAGGTATCACTATATTCCTTCCTCCTCCAACGTCCCAAAGACTTCTAAAACTGTAGGATTTATTGCTTTTTAAACAGAACCGTTCACCAATCATATCCCACCCATTTAGAATCAAAACTGCTTTGAACATCTTTTAGTGCACAGACTGCTTCACTCACATTTTGTAACAATACCCTCCACACAGACAATACAGCTGAGAAACTGGGATGTCAACGTCCGAGGCGTCACATGTTTAGATCCAAAGCTGCCTTCTAACCCAATATAAAAATCTTCGTACTGTTTCGAATATGTAGCATCCACAGAAGCAACGAAGTCTTTCAGGGCACGCTGGAAAGCCAGCAACTCCTCAAAGGCACTGTTCAGCAAACTGCACCAAAGATGAACAAGAGTTTTTATTGCCCTGTCAGAAAAAGCCTATATCGTAACAGGAAAACAATTCTCATTAAATATCCCCTATCAAAACTTACCAATGTTGTTAATTCCCAGTGTCCCTTCAAAATAAAGATTGCATTGGTAATCTTTAAGTATGCTAATCATCTTTAAATTTTCCCATACTGCACTTACCTGGAACTTTTGCTATTACCCTGAGTCATAATTAAAGATCAAAAATTAGACCCTCAGTTGCTCAATGACAAGCATCAGAGAAAGTCTAGCCATAAAAACACTAATTTTACAAAGTTAGAAAAGATATTTTGATTGTCACTGAGAACTGTTATTTTCAATAAGACCAATACTGTAGAACATTTGGATTGTGCCTTATTGTATAACTGAAGGAATGTATAAATTAATGACCAACATATAACAATGTTACAATTGTTGACAACATTCCAAAAATGGAATAAAGAGTTATGGATGCTCTTTTAATGCTCTTTATTATTCTATGCACATCGGTGAAATTGTGGCATTAGAAAAGCCTGGTTACAGAAACTGCTCAACTTTATTTGTATTCAAAAACCTCCAAGTTGGCCTTGTTAGTACATGGACTGAAGATTTCCAGCAAATTCTCTGGCAGTTATTTTACATACAGAGAAACCAACAAGACCAACTTGTAGGGATTCAATGACACCATTTTATTTTGCCAACGCAGAAGCAGATTAAATTTCTCAATTTGTTAACATAATCCAAATGATCTAGCTTTGACTTTTAAATATTTCACAGATAATGTATAATGGACCATTCTTCTGCCTTATTTATAAAACCTAAAATCTCCAGATTCTTCAAATCAAAACTTCATTTCTTCAAGTCATTGACTAAAAATTTAAATAAGACCTGAAACATGGTAAGTAAAAGCGTTCAACAATCTTCATGTATAAGCAAAATTACCTCTGCAAATAGTAATTCCTTCCCATGATGGTAACCTTCATGTAATAAAACTGCCATTAAATAACAGCATTTTGTCTTGGGATGACATAATGACTTATGATAGCCTTAAATTAGATTGCATAATCAGTGTGTCACCAGAAAAATTTAACGTAGGTGGGCCAACCATCGTATTAAATTAGAATAAAAGGCACAACTTATAAAAATGTTCTGTAGGGATTCAATGACACCGTAATTACCAGAAGAGAGATGGCTTTGTGTGTACAGACTATGATTATTGAGAAATTTCTTTGTTTGGTTCACAAAGAAAATAATGGTCCAGGATGATTTTAACACAAAGCATGGTTGCCTCCAAAAACTCCTAAATGAGACAAGGACTGGAAGACATGCCTAAGCTACCCCAGGTTCATTTTGTGTATGGAGAAATGGGGAGAGGGCAGAACAAATATTTTGCTAACATTCGTATTCTTACCGACTGGCTCTTTTCTCATTTTTTCTGCGGAGGTCATTGATATTCACAATCAGGCGATGCCCATTGTCATTAATCATGTCCCGGACTTTACTCTGGTAAATTCCCTGATCTTCCTGGAAGGAGGGTAGGTAAGAAGAACTGTTTAGACAATATTAATTCATTTATTCTGAAAGTGGCCAAGAGGCCTTCCATTTCCTCATGGTTTATCCAGTGTTGCCTAAATAAAGCTACATTGTGTTTCCTCTCATGAAATCTGGGTGGAGAATAATATCATGATGCTTAAAGTTTTGCATCAAGTTTATTTAGTGAAATTGTATCATGTTCAAATTTATTAAACTACTTTCTCTTTCTGCAGTCACTTTAATAGGACTATATAGCACCTGT